CTACAATTTTGAAATCCCAGTCTATCCCTTCCCACCCTAAGACTACCTTTTCTTTATTGAACTACTTTGTCAGTCTTGTCTATAATCAATTGACTTAGATGAGAAATAAAATATGAAGTAAGATCCCCCTTTTGTCAATTTTTATACATGCAAAGACCAAGTGTGGTGAAGGATATGTTCCAAAATGTTAACAAATATTATCTCTTTGGAATGAAATTATAAATTTTCCCCTTTACTGCTTGGATTTTTTTAGAGTGATGCATTAAAAAACACATAAGGATATTTTACTTTTGAAGAAATTTTCATTATAAATGATACAGTAGAGACTTAAAGAGAAGATAGACGCTATTCACCTTCAAGGAAATTCAAGTCTAATAGGACAATGTAAAAATGATTGCATGTTATTGAATACTGATAAAGACAAAAAGAGGGAACACATTTAGAGGTAAGCTATAGCTGTAGAAAAGACAATGTTTGAGGACACAAGAGAGAAGAAAGACTAGGACTTGGACAGGTTGAACAGATGGGGCACACCTGAGATGGATTTTGAAGAAGAGAGGTTCATGGGAGGCAGAGAGAAGGCTGTCTTCTGAGAGTGGGGAAGTGGCCCGCTGGTTCAGAGATTTGAACCAGGCTGGGGGCTAGAGGGAGATGCTTAGCTGGCGTGATAGGCAGTTTTCCTCCTGAGTTTTGTTTTTCCTTTAATTTCTCTCATTTTTGATTCCTCCTTCCCCACTGTTCAGGGCCTAAGAGATAAAACATACCCTTATCACTCCAAGGAAAGCATGGACAAAACTCCCTTAATACAGCTGAAAGAGTTAACATGAACAAGTTATTTTATGAAAAAAACCAAAAGACTATATAAAGAAAACAATGTCTGATAATACAACTAAAAACAATGAAGCCAACTGTGTCTGGTTTCTTAGCCTAAAAAAATTCTATGAAAATGTCTAAGATCTGTATGTGGCACTAAGCTCCCCTGCTCTTGAAATAATTTCATGCTAACTCTTAAAGGCCTAGCATAACTTTGCAGCCACCAGGTCTGGCTTCCTATCCTCCCGGTTCCTCTGCCTGCCTCGTAGCCATGTGTTCTCTGGGTGCCATCTTGCTTCCTAGTCCAGGGGAGCTGGTCCAACAATACATCTTGCTCCATGTAAGGACAAACTCCATTAAAACTCAAACGTCTGGAACCTCTAGAAGCCTCTCATTCTCTCCTGGTAGAAGTTAGTATAAAGGCACACTTAGTTCCCAGCTGAGCGTTCAGGCAACCCTGATGGATATCTTTAAGCTCTTCTTGCTGAGGTCTTCGGCTCTACCTATTTGAGAAACATTCTGTGATGATTCTATCAGATGAGTCCCTCCACAGAAGGAAGGGTCTTGTAAAATATGCCTATTATAATTTCACAACCTGATAATAACCACATAGTAAACATACCATCCTTACAGTATGCCTTAGTACATTTATAGCATGAGGAAGGTCGTTCTCATCTACCAAGAGAGGTGGTGAAATCTTGCCTGGAAGGCACAGGTTGCGGAGGCTTGGGAGGAGCTTTGCCGCTAGGTGAAAGCTCGAAATCCTCTTTCCAGCTATTCTCTCAACTAGGTGGTTTAAAGATTAAAAAACAGTCCAGAGAATTTCACCTCAATAAATTATGAAAAAATTATGTCCATGTCTAACTCAACACAGGGATATCTGTAAAACTCACTCAAAGTATAATTTAAACTCCTTTGGTTAAAGTAAGTACTGTTCCTCATTGTTTCAAGGGTAATTCTATTTCTACTGGGCTTATCTGAAGGTGGTTTTTGTGTAGATTTTCCTAAGATAAGGGTCTACATCAGGTGTAGCCTCAGCTCTGTAACTCTGGCTCTGCGATGCTTACAAGTTTTTGAGCTTCTGTTATGGGGCACCCTCCAGAAATCCGCTATGGGGCCTGAGACCTCCTAATACCACCAAGAAACGATTGTATGTTCTTGGGAGGCATGTAAGATGAATAGGTTTGTAATTATATATTTACTTTACAAACTCTTTTATAATGCTTACCACGTGCTTAGTATTGCCTGAGTAATAACTCATGTAAGCCTTGTAACAGCCCTCTGAGGCAAGACTGCCGTTAGTCACGCAAGCTGAGGCACAGAGAGGTTGAGCGATGTAACTCAAACCTTGTAGCTAGGAAGGGGCAGAGCCAGGACTTGAACCCATCAGTCTACTCAGGCTTCAGAGTCAGTGTTCTTTACACATCATGATGTGTGGCTCACCTATTGTGATTAAGCAGTGGAACTCCAAGATCTGAACACCCTCCCCAGAAGATAGGCTGAGAGCTGCCATCAAGCAAGAGAACAAACAATGTCTACAAACTTCCTGTTAAAGTAGCTCTGTGTTTAGAAATCACACATGCTTTTTATTTTAGAATGAGGATGCACATCCTCTCAGGTCCCAGCGGGGTATGAGAGTTGTGACAGGATATCGCTGTGGGAGGACAATTTGTGTTCTGAGGAAAGTAATACACAGAGACAGACCATCTCCCCTTATTGACAGATGACCCACTAGAGGTATGGGCTGCCCCTCTGTCCTCCACCCCCCAGTCCCAGTGAGCTGCCCAGATTTGGGGCCAGGGATCATTCAGATAATGAGAATCTCCCATTATCGGGCAGAGGAGAGGGGACACTGTGGATATAGCTTGGTTCTGCATTTAATAGGAAATAAAGGGAAAGGAAAATTATTTTGGTTAGTCTTTGTCTTACGGCTCTATAATGTCTATCTTACTGCTATAAATGGAAATGGAAGTACCATCTGGACCAGAGGGAGAAGTAGTGCCTCTAATTTGGCCAGTGCTTAAAAAAGCCTCACTGAACATGTCAGCTGCACATATTTTGAGACTTTGAAAGAAAAATCTTCATTATGAGGTGGTATACGCATGTTGCAAAATATACTTTAGATACAGATACAGAGTCACACTTTTGCCTTCACATCACATCTTACTATGGGAATAACGTGTGTGTATTAAATTAAGTGTAATTATAGACAATGCCTTTGTTGTAAAGGTTTTTCTGTGGCTACACAATTATCTTCACTTGGTCTCTTCTTGGGGGAGAGTTTTTTAGAGCAGGTAAGTTGGGTTTTATTTGAGAGACTGAAGTAGTGTTTTAAATGGCATTTGATGAAGGTGGATGTAGAAGGAAAGAAGGCCTCTGAAAAGTTTGACTCCCACACTAACCCAGGGTGAGGTGCATGGTAAGGGATAACCTGTTTTTATTTCTACTCTGCCGTCGACCACATAGATTGTCCCACTAGCAACAGAAATCCTATGTTCTCCTGGCATCAGCAAAGATGGCTGAAGAAGCAGCTCCTGGATGCTCGTGACCCACTCCCTGCGTTTCTTGGGAAGATATATATGCTTAGAAGGGGCTTCCTACAAGGAGCGAAGGGTTGTACTGGCTCCTTTTGAGGGCAGCCGGAAAAAAAGAAAAGATTTTATCAATAAACATGGCTGAAAAGGTCAAATGGAAGTCAGATCTCCACATTGTGGCCCCCTTTGTAGTCCAAAGACACTGGGATCTTCCTGGCTCTGTCTTTTAAGAAGACGCCAGTGCAGGGGTGGCTGGGAGCCTGACAGTGACTTTGGTAGATCCCTATAGCCCAGATGCCTTTTTCAGGTTTTAGTTTAAACCACTCTTTCTTTGTCCCAGATTCTTTGACCATGCCAAGCCCCCAGTAGCTACCAAAGGCCATCTCCATGTCCCAGTAGTGTCTGCCTGACCTGACCAGATCCCACAGTGCCCAGCACACAGGAGTAGGAGAAACTCTCGGGGTCGGAAGGCACGTTTACCTACTGCTTGGAGGTGAGCACTGGCAGTTTCTGCATCGAGATCACATCGTCTGCGGAGAGAAGACCAGAGAGAGTGCCAGGCGAGCAGCTGAGGGCAGGGACGAGGTCAGGCTGGAAGAGCAGCCTTGAGTGGGGAGAAGGCTGTAGCCAGGTGGGTGCCGCCCCACAGCCCAGCCAGGGAAGGGGGGCCCACTGGCTGTTGAGGACCAGTCTCTGCAGCAGGCCTTGCTTTTCCTCTCAAGACATGGAAAACCTGGAAACCAGGTGTGGCCCAGGTGCCAGTGAGTGTGTAGTCAGCACAGGCCCCAGAACTTTCTGCTGGGCCTGGTGAGGGTGGCAAACGAGGTGTGGAAAGCATCAAATTTAAGGAGGCGCTTGCTCACAAGGTGGGGCCCCTCTGCCAGTACTGGGCTGAGTGGTCAGGAGCCAGCCTCTCTTAGGCCTAAGCTTTCCTGCCTTCCCGAGACTGCTGTCAAGCTTAGTGGATCAGCTGTGCCTGACAGCTTTCCCAGAACCCTGCCCAGAGCTCACCGCTCCCTTCTCCCTTCCCCCACGCCGATTCCTCCCTCTCCACTGCGAACGAACGTCAATAACCCTACCTTGGTGCTTTCCTTAAGTGTGTTGAGACACTTCAGGACGACAAGGAATGTGAGAAGGAGCCCTGCCTGGCGCCTTCTCTGCACACTTAGGGCAGCTGATTGCTGACAAACCTGTCTCAGTCTCCAGGGTTAGCTAGATACTTCATCCCCTCTCCCTTCCATAAGTTACACGGCCTGGAGCCCATTTAGATGCCTCACCGGGCTTGTTATTCTGAACAACTTACCTTCCATCTCCTCCAGGGCGGTCGGCAGGGTCTTTAGGGACAGAAAAAAGAAAATGCTTTGAGCTCCCAGCCAACAGGTGCTTTCCACATGTATCTTCCCTCACACTGAAAAAAGCCAGGGCTGCTTTCCAGCTGCAGGAAAAAGCCTGCCTCCCTCCTCCATTCCCAGACCAACAGTGACCGTCTCAGGTGGAAGTAGGACTTTTCATCGCTCGGACCTCATGCAACGTATCACTGAGTTGTTCACTCCTTCCGGAGAAAGCGCTGGTTCTCTTGCCCAGTTCAGTTACCTTGGGGACTCATAGTTTAGCGTTAATGTTTTCACCTCTAGGAACAAATACAGGATTTTTGCAAATCAAGGATGTGTTTTGTTTTTGTTTTTGTTTTTACTTCTTAGGTACAAACAGGAGAAGGGTGAACTGAACACTGCTCCCCAGAAATGGCATCCGGAAGAGAGGGAACCGACCTCAGAACAAGCCCACCCCTCACACTGGCAGGGCCCGGGGCCAGAGAGCAATAGGAGGCCCACGCCCCACATGTCTATGTCTTTAAAAGTTACACATTGAGCAGTGAACTGCTTAATAAAATAAGCTGTATCCTCCTACCCTGACACACACACTTTCATAATAACCTAGGAGGTCAAGTTCAAATTGAGAACTCTTGGACTTCTCAGGTTCTGCACAGGGACATGGCAACCCCAGCAGCACCTGCCCAGCCCCCCACCCACCCCTTTTCTTCCCGTTGTGGCTCTGCTCTGCACTGTGAGGGGCCAGTGCACACATGTGTGGACACCCCAGTCTGCACGTCCAAGCTCCATGCGTATGTTGCCCTTGGCCAGCCTTGGCTTTGGGGAGCATTACCCAGAGAAAGGGATGATGCAGGCCCTGGAAGTGGGCTCAGGGCTATTTGGGCAGGAAATTCTGGGAGTGTTATCTGGGGAGGGGGCTAGGGCTTGAGTATGTGTGTGTGTGTGTGTGTGTGTGTGTGAAAATATCACTTTTGCCCTGAGGGAGGGCAGCTGCCAGTGGAAGGCCAGAGAGGGGACTTTAAATGGGGCCTAAGGCAGCGGTGTCCCGTGCCCTGGCAGAGCTGCCAGGAATAAACAGCCTGCCTACCAGGAGCTTCCTCTTCGATGGAGACACCGTCTTCTCCAAGTCCTTACCCTCACCTGCGCTCTTGATCACCAGGGAAGAGGCTAACAGGGGACAATGGTCATAGTTCTATGCTACATGACCCAAGTCCACAAGAAATTCAGTGAACCACTGTTTTATCAGCTCCCAGGTCTCCAGTGACTGCTAATGGCCAATGCATTGGATAGGAGCTGGTACCCCAGTGGAAAAATGGCCATTCCCAGAGTCTGTGGGATCCAGCCAAATGTCTCATATGGAAAAGGGGCCAAGGGTGAGAGTAGGGGTAGTGTTATGTCAGAGCCTGCCAGGTTAATTGTTCATCTTCAGAACATTTTACTCTCTGGATAAAGAAGCAAAAACAAGACATCCTGGGAATACTGTTTCCCCTCAGCCCATCTCCCTTCACATACCTTTTTAAGATGCTCCTGCTATTCTGTAAAGAAAACAAAGAGGGATCAGGTACTCCCCAAATGCCGACCCAAGGCAGCCCCGCAGGCGACTCCCTGACCTTTCCTAGGTAATCCACAGCCTCCTTAACAAAGCAGCCCAGCACTCATCCTGCGCTTTTGTTTTATAGGCTGTTTTATGACTGGAAATAATGTGCTTATTGTAAATCTCTCTTGTGGGATTTACAGGGGTGTCGTCTGTTCTATTTTCATGGCTGTTTCACACGTTTATTCAACTTCATTCATTACTTGGGGAGAACATTTTGTATTCCAAGTCTTAATCATATAAGAAAGAAATACTGTCCAACCGACACAGCCCTTATTGTATTGATTAAGGTTTTATTCACTTAAAAGGTGGGGCTTCTCCTCCCTTGGTAGCTCTCCGGCTTTTAAAATACATTTTCTCTGTGAAACAAGAAATGGCTCAAAAAGTGGTATGTTTGAGCCCGTGGGCCTCCAAAGGTGCAAAATTTTTTCTTCAAGGAAGAAAATTTTCTTCAAGTTTTTTGTTGCTCCAGAGTTTTACAAACTATCCTCTTTGCAAGGAAAGGGCAAAAGTACATTCTAGGTTTTAGTTTCCTCAGTCGCTAACTCCGAGGTTGGTCCATATCTGTCTCTGACTTCAGGGCATTGAGGGACCCTTCCAATCTCTCTCCTGGCATTTTTTTGTGCATGTGTGTATAAAATCTACATAACGTATAATCTACCACTTTAAGCATTTTTACAATGTTGTGTAACCATTACAACTGTTTCCAGAACTTTTTCATCACCCCAAATAGAAACTCTGTACCCATTAGAGCAATAACTTCCCATCTCTTGGCATTTTGATCCTCAGCTTGTGCAGTGTTTGTGCACTTTAGAGTCAAGGATTCTGACTTGAAATATTGGCTCTGCCCCTTCCTACCTCTGGGATGTTAAACAACTTGTCTGATCTCTTTAAGTCTTGGTTTACTCATCTGCAAAATGGAGCTAATGAGAATCAGAATAATAGCCTTCACAGAGTTATTATGTACATATGGTACCACACACAAAGCAACATCATCAACCCTCCATAAGCACATAGTCTCCTCCTTGTCAGTGTCTCACTGCAACCGATGAGGGTTCGCTGCTATCATCCCCCAGATCCCTAGATCCTCACTGCCACCTGGGCTAGACCTGACTCCCCCTCCACTCCTGAGGCAGGGCTAGGAGGGCATAAGGGCATTTCTTAATCTTCACAATAATGACTAATGTTTGCCAAGGGACAGTTGTCAAGAAGAGGAAACACAACACAGAGATAGGTACTAGGGGACATGAAGAAGGTCTCCCGGGGGTGGAAGGGTATAGCTCAGTGGTAGAGCACATGCCTAACATGCAAGAGGTCCTGGGCAACTACACTAAAAATAAATAAATAAATAAACCTAGCCCCCCCCTAAAAAAAGAATAACAAAAATAATTTTTTTTTTAAGGAAAAGTCTTCCAAGCTTGTTAGGTAAACGACATGATTTGAATGCAGTCTAGCTTCTGGGCCCATATTTTCAACCACTGGACTATAAGGCCTTGATGTGCTTGTAAGCATCTGGTATGACAGTAGCAGAAGTAGAACCTAGAGAGGGAATTCAAGCTCACCAGCAAGCAGAGGCACGGTCAAGAGACAGTCTATGTCTTCTGACCTGACTCGCCCC